CAGCCCTGCTCACAGTCTGGCCTCATCTGCTGCCTGCCACCGAGCTCCCGTGTTCCCAATCAATAGTCCTTACTGAAGTGCTCAATTTCCACCGGGGTGGAGTAGGTGGTGGAGGGGAGGGGTAGGCAGGACAGATGTATTTGATTGTCTCCTCAATTCCCCCACCTTCTGCCACTGTGTGGTTGTGGTTGTGTGTGTGTGTTCCAGCAATAGTGTTATGAATCAGTAATCAGAGTGGTGACACACCTGAGCAATGCCCCCATCCCCCTTGGGTGCCATACATTATAAATCAAAAGACTTCATTTGCATACAGCCTGCTTATTATTCCAGATTTTGCCTCTACACCAGTAAGCTGAGGGTTATAATCATGATAATGAGCTGTGCTGACTGTAGGCTTTTTATTATTTGTTTGCAGAGGGGGCATAAACAAATGATATTATTAGTTTTTGATTTAGAGGTCTGCAGTGTGAGATTTTCAGTGCATAGACAAAACAATAGAAAAGATAATATCTTATGCAAGTTTCTCCATGCATGGCGCACTTTACTTGCAGACTTGTATGGTAGCGTAGAAAACTTACAACAGTCTGATAAATATCCCCTACATTTACTTTTATTAAGTTGCTTCATCACTTATCACAAAATTAATCGCAGCAACCAGTAGCGGGCACAGATAGGAGGGGAATTAAATATCTCTCTTGCTGATCATAATCTGGCGAAAGCAGAATTTGCGATTTTAGATAGCTGAAGCAATTTAATCTGAATGTCTGATTTTTAACCAGGGGTATGAATCCAGTGCTTTCCTATCAGCTCGGGTCACAGTGCATTGATAGTTAGCTCATGACTAATGTGGCACACCAGGAGAGAGACTAATTGCGGCCAGTGCACTACCAGGCGAGTAATTGTAGGGGAAAGTAAAGACTGAGAGTATCAAGGAGAGGAGCAGGTGCTGGCTGATGGAGAAAGCCTTGCTGCCCTGTGGGAGATCTAAGAGGGAGGGTAGGTGTGAGCTGGACAGGGCCTGGGGTTATTACTCTAATTGACACTTCACCTCACACACATGCACATGGTCCCCAGGGGCCAATCAGAGGGCCGGGTTTGCAGTGGAGGGAGCATGGAAGGCTGGCACAGGTGCTGCCGGCGAGCGTATCAGGGGTGTAATTGCACTGCTGATATTTGTCTATCTGTGTGTCACGCTACCAGACACCCACTCCCCCAACACACACACACACACACACACACGTGCACGCACAGCCCATTAACCCTACAGGTCCTATTGAGAGCAGCGTTCCTTTGAAAGCCTTCGGGGCCCCTGTGTTTTACACACTGAATATAATAATGCACAGAGGTGCTCGGGCTCACTGGTGTCCAACAACAGTAATTGAGAGACAGGGGATGAGGTAGGGGTTACATAGTTCACCCTGCTGAGCGTGCTTTCCCAAAGGGTGCCCGAGTGGACAGCATGTGTGTGATTTTGGATGTGTGTAGGTGTTTCTGTTGTTTAAAGCTACAGCGTTTCCCTTCTCTGTTATAAGAAAATAAATAATGCAAATTTGTATGTGTGTGTTTGAATGTATGTTAGGCTTATCAATTTCTGTTAAATACCTGAAAGAAATGGACAAAACAGACAAAACAGATAAAACAGACAATGTGGGTATACACATATGAAACCGTCTGTGTATGTGTGTGTCATTTTCGATTGTTGGTTAAGTCATTGTTTCACATGTATTAAAAGCTTAAAATACTGAGTCAATTGACAAAAATAAATACATTCTCTCTGTAATTTATCAAGCAAAATTACCAAATATTTCTTCTTTTGTGCTTCTATAATGTGTAGTTGTATGCTAAAATATTTCGGGCTTTGGACTTTTGGTCAGACAAAAAAAGATTAGATTTTCAGACATCTGCTTTCAATAAGAGTAAAAGATATCATCAGATAATGGAAACTGAAACAAACATTTAGTTTCAACATACTGATCATGTGTGTTGTGTGTTGCAGTGCTTCGTCTCATGAGTACCAGAAAGTGCTGAGCAGGATCTCTCCTGTTGTGGAGCAGCATAAGAGTACGCTGGTGCCCGGTGTTCCCCAGCTCAACATGTGTGACGTGGCGGTGATGGTGAGATTTATACAACATAAATATCAAGATGCACTTTATTAGTAAAAGTGCAAAACTATATCAATTATGTTGAGAATACATTCATTGTGTGTGTGTAGAAGGTAACTCAGATACTGAGCGTTAATCCCAGGAATGTTTACACCTTATCTCTCTGGTCTGTCCATCACACTTATACATCAGATACACGAATACAAAGACAAATTAATTAAGCCGTGTGAAAAAACTAAGAATTAATAAAACTATCTGAATATTTAAGTTAAAGGTATAGGTAATTCACTTCAGAAACACTTTTTGTTATATTCCATGGAATGCTCTTAACATCCCGATAGCAATGAATATATTAAATGCTTTGACAATAAATACATACAAAAATGTCATCTGTGGAAGCCGTGGTGCTGTAAAAAGCACGACCAATCATCTGAGCCGTCCCGGCTAAAATAACTGGATGGCCTACCTGCCTGTCAGCCTTCCATCTCGTGCACAAACTTATCTCGTGCCCTCATTGGTCATGTGCACGTTCGTGTGTGTTGGAGGAGGGGCTCTGTAAGGAAGTCTGAAGGAAGGGGCAGATTTTTTCCGGTTGTGTACTTTCAAATTCTAGCGCACTCAAGCTGGTTTCTCCATTCTTACCTACCCTACCTTTAACTGTCTGCTTTGAGCTTGCAGACTATTAATGTATAACTTGAACATATTATAACCTATATATATATATATATATATCATATCATTATCTGAACCTGGACATTGTCCTTTAGGTTGTGTCTGTGTTTGACTTTTATGAAAAACATGTCCTTTAGGATTTCTTAGATATAAATTAGGCAGTGGCTTTGTCACACTGAAGCACAGAGTGAGAGCGACACTGCTGTGCATTTATTTGTGGCATAGCACTGCCCCCTTGTGGTGAATAAAATAAACAAGCACAGTAATAACTCTTCCTGTAAATCACTCATAACTCTGATAACGTCATATTCTTGTGATAACATCATATTCTTGTGATAACATCATATTCTTGTGCTTGCTGTGATTGCTGCTCTCTGTTACAGAATTGGGCCCCCGCTGGCTGTGAGAAGTTAGGAAAGTGTCTCAAAGTGCCAAAGTCTCAGCCCTGGAAGTGTGATTGGCCACATTGAGAGGATGAGGAACCAACACCTGAAGATCTGCCTTTCTAGTCAACAGACAACCGTATTCTTTTGTAAAATGATTTATGTACAGTGTTAAAGAGATTTTTGGTATTTCATTGTATGGGTTATGCAAATAGATTTTTGTTTATAGCTGCTATTTCAATGAGTGCACACAAGTTGTACCCGCTCTGGAGAAGCACTGCAATAAGAGCCAATGATTGAAGTCAGGAAAAATGATTTAGAGAAGTTGGGATTTTTATTTTATTTTATCAAGCCTAATGTGATGTACACAATGTTGTATTGTTGTTTTAAATCTTAATCATTGTTACCTGCGTACTGAAAAATGTGTTCTAAAAAAAAAGTTATTTTGTAATACCTGTTATCATGACCCTTTAAAGTGGACCTATTATGCTATATTGGAAAAATATATTGTAGGGCCATACAAAACATGTCTGTGAAGTTTTTTGCTTAAAATACCAAACAGATCACCCATTGTAGCCATGCCTCATACTGCTCATACCCCTCGTTTGCAGCCCTGTTATGGCACATTTCCACTGCAGGGCCTCGCACGGCTTAGTACGGTATAGTTAGGCCTTGGTAGGCCAGGCTCACTTTATGCTGCGTTTCCATTACACTTTAGGAACTGGGGTAGTAAATATAGTAACGCAGTGTAGGCGGAGCCGTGACGTCATCTTCAATGCGATACACAAAACCAACATCAGCCGTTAGCTGTTAGCCCTCAGAGCTCACAGCCCTCTGTTCAGAAACTAGACAAAAGTTAAACAAGTACAAACCACAGACTGTCTGTTTTATGGCGAGTACAGTCGCTGGTTATTTATGTCTGTATAGGCCATTGTTGTGAGTGTGGACGGTTGGAGCATATACTGCGTTAGCTTAGCTGATCTCCATTCAGAAAACACGCATTTTAAAAGGTTTTTCGCCTGCCGTCTGTCTGCAGACTTGTCAAAGCATTAATTCATGGTTTTTACTAACCGGTATCAGTATGTTGTTACTTCGGCATCATTTTGAAACGTGTATTACAATTAAATCACGGTAAAATATGTTCATTTTGTTGTAGTTGCCAGCGATTCTCTCACTAGTTTAGCATACTCAGCCCGGTTGTTGGCCCGGAAAGAACCTCGATTTTGGAGAGCCATAAAACTGTGAAAAAGTACTCGCTAGCCGGAACTACGCCTAGTGGAAACGCAACCAAAAACGGGCCAGGCACGGCACGGCACGGCACGTTTAAACTGCGCTCCGCGATGTAGTGGAAATGCGCCATTAGAGAAACGCGGATTTTGGGTCCTTAGCTTAAAAAAAAAAAAAAAAGAGGAGGCGGAGCTAATGCCTGATCAGAATTCTACCAGAGATAAAGTTAAATTCTGCTGTGATAAAACGCCATCCTGTTCTAAACCACATCAAGGATTATTTCTGAAACAGCATGGAGCACAAATGCTTTTTCTCTTGCGGGTTTATCACAAGGCGAGTTCCTTTTTTTATTTCCTGCTTTTTAAACATATGTGCTCTGAGTGTTAGCGAGGCTTGCTAATGTAAACAAAGACGAGATTACGTCCAAAACACGTCAGGCATTGTTTCTGATAGCAACTTTCTGTGATCCACCATCCGAAATTACGTCATTTCGGCAGCAAATCTGTATCCGCTCGTTGTACCCCCGTTTTTTAAGGATTTGGGTACAGAGGAAAAGAGAAAGGGTTTTATTTTCTGACGCTGCGTGAGTTCCCTGACACACCGGGGACACATATTTATGTATTAATTAAAGACATCAAAAAGTGCATTTTGCATGATAGGTCCCCTTTAAGTGATTGTCAACCAAACTCTCTACTTCCATTTTGATAGATTACTCGCCTGGTGGAGATTATTTTAAAATGTTTTGTCCTGTAAAAGTCAGAGCTCATAAAGTAGTGCACATCTTTCATAGCTTTTACAGCAGATGTGGCAAGTAGCTGCGGGTGTGAAAATATTGCGCTTCTTTTAGCTAACAGTCATTTCCTTTACAGCTAAAAGGAAATTGCCTGTTTCAGGAAACAGACTGCTGTCTTGCAAATGAACTCGCACCATCATGTCAGAGGATCCAAGTAGAATAACAGCCATGGAGGTGGACACTGCGTTTATCAAATCCAAGAGGGGCATCCTGAAAGTAGCAGAGATGGTGAGACAGATCGCACATCACCATGAGGTTAAAAGTTGCATGGTTGGCAACATAAGTAAGGAACTAAGATATAACCTGCACACATTAAATGGGAAGCAGATACTGTAGGCTACAGCGTAGGCCTACGTGAAGAAATAACAAAGCAGTGTAACAAATCTGCTCTATAGAGTGTTTAACAATGTGACAAGAGCTAGTTTGTTAATGCAGTGATCAACATTAAAAGATCATATTAGCAACTGCATTAGTTACTTGTATTTAAAAATAAATGTGATGTTGAAATATTAGCCGACACTCAGTTCCTCTTTTTCTATAAGATGTGCAACAGGTCGTATGAAGGAAGAGTAAATCAGCTGATGTTCTGGTTCCTGCTGGAAGTTTAGAATAAAAACTCTATATAGAGAAGACAAGAGAAATTAAGACACAAGAAATAAACAGTCCAAAAATATTTCTGAAATCGAAATAAAATAGCATGTAAAAAAGTTAAAAAAAATATATGTGGAAAATATACATGTGGAAATACACATTTCCAGTAACAAATATAATGCAGGATATTATTGTGCAGAATCGTCCTGATACGAAAGCTTAATATTGTGTTTATATTTAAAGAAATTGCTTTTCAAATTGCATTCATTGCAGTTACCATTTTCTAACTGTTGTGTCTCTGTTTCTGCTTTAGGTGACTCTGTTTGTGGCCTTTGTGTGTTTCGCTGTAGCCTCCAGACCAAAGTACATTGCAGCCACAGTGCTGGAGTTTGTTATCACTTCCCTTCTACTGCTGCTCTACCTGTTCAAACTCAACAAGAGGCTGACATTCTTCTTCTGGTCTCTCATTGTGGGTTTTACAGCACATAACAATTTAAGTCTACTGTAAGTGTTGCATTTTAAAAGTCATTGGTCTAAAGCTATTTTGTTTTTGTGCAGGATGCTTTTAATTCAGTGTTTGCAGCAGTCTACTTTATTGTCTTGAGCCTGTTGGCGGCGACTACCTACACTGTCACAGGCACGCTGGTTGGAGGGGTGAGAAATATATATTCTTTAATCTATAATTGAAATCTCAGTTGTGGGGGTCAAATTTGAAATGGAATTTAGTTTCCCCTCATACATTGGCATCAAAATAAATAGCAGATAGCAAGCATAACATTGCTTGTTATCTGCATTCATCTTCTGACTGTAGCCCAATGTACATGACGTTTGATTTTCTCTTTAGTTACACACACTGGAGTGTTGACAGGAAATATGCATGTCATTTTAAATATGCTCTTCATTTCCAGATATTTGGTCTTGTCTTCGCTGGGCTGATGTGTGTGGACAGCTTCGTACTTTTCAAGAACATCACATTCAACCAGTCAAGAAGTGAAATGAATACAGTAAACAATGAACATTAACAATTCCAAATGCTCTACAACTGATACATTTCCCCTGAGCTTACTGTACAATGTGACTCGAAGTGTTGTAAACTGGCATGTTTCAAACTCTGTATTCCAATGTATTTTATTGCAATGTATTTCTGATTTGTGTTTGACGATATTTTTTTATTTGACACATATCTCAATAAGACACAAATATCAATATTCAATTCAATTACAAAAATTAAGCCTTTTCTTTGCCTTCTGACATCAGGAGTTGGATATTTCCACTGAATGGCTGACGATTGTGTTGTATGTGTGCAGCTGGGGGGCATCACATTTCACATCTGGAGAAAGCAGATGTTGCGCTTGTTGGGAGCTCGCGCTGCGTTTCCGCGCTGTCATTGTTTCCGTTTCCACCTCCGAGAAGCCTCACGCCTCCACATATCTTTTCTTTAGCTTTTGATCCGTTACATTGCGGGTTAGTTTGAACTCTCTGACTGTTGAGGAGAGTTGATATATCTTTTTATCCAACCATGGGGGACATCGAGACTCCCAGCTCGACTCACCCGCGCCAGACTGTCCTGCTGTCGGTCCTCCCGAGCAAAGAGTTCGCCTCCTCAAGGAAAGGAATGCTGCTTATTGCTGAAGTGGTAAGAAATGGACCAGAGCGATCTGAAACCACTGATATTCTTACTGTGCCATGCCTTCGCCAAACGCGCCTAAAAGTCAAATCGCGCCTCGTTTTGATAGTTGGATTTTCTCTTTTGTAAGAGATATGGCAGCCATGACAATGTGTTGCATTAATGCACATTTGGAAATAACTTTAACGGACTATTTAACTGTCCTTTTGAATATGGGTCAGTCGGTTTTCGTCACAGGGTTTCTAAAGGGAAGAATAGTGAGCAACTTTGAGGGACACTTCAGAAAGTTGGAATACAGTTTTCTATGGATTATGGAGACACTGAAGATCACTGTAACCATCTTCTCCATTGAAAATAGCCATATGTGCTGCTAGGGATCAAGCTAGATAACAGTATAAACTTTTTTCCGACTCTGTTTGTTTAATACATTTAATCAGCTAATAAAAACAACTTCCAAATTGCTTTTTCAGTGACTTTTCAAGTGCATTTGAACAAAGCAGGAACTGACTGTACTTGTGTTTGATAGTGATAGTGTTGGGGGGCGGATGTCTTCTTGCTTGTTACTGCTGTATGAACCCTCAGATTTGTGTCATGTGAGAGAGCATGCAGTCATCTTCCTCTCAGTCACATCCTTTAGTCTGTTGCCATAACATGTAGCCTGGAGCACAGTCCTTACTGTGTGTGCATGCAGAGCTCAGCAGCCCCTTGCACTCTCTCACACACACAATGCAGTCTCTTTACTGCCACTCAGCAATGTGACTGTGATCTTCATCCTGAGGCTAAAATGCTTCTGCATAGCTTAACTAAAAGGCCACAGGAAGATCCACATAATGGATACACTTCTCTTTCAAATCTAAAGACACACTTTTAGAAACACGCTTTTTTATGTGAATCACTCCCTATGTACTTTTAAGTCTTGATCTGTTGTTTATTGCATTGCAAGAATAGCTTTAAACAAGAATAGCGTTACATTTAGGCTAATTCAGTCAATTAAACAATGGACAAGCAAAAAGGAGCTTACAATGTCAACAAAAGCAAATAACAACCCAACCTTGCCATAAAACCTTGATACTCCTAGATTCCTAACATTGCCCACAAAGATGTAGTACAGTCAGAGATGGTAAAAGGAAAGCTACTCCTGTATAACAGTATGGTAGAGCATTTTGTCTCATGGTATCTCCCAACCCTAACTGCAACAAATTGTTACAGAAGAAACTGACGGTGCAAATTGCATTAAATGTTGTTCAAGTGTTCGTTGCCAGCCGAAAAAAATAAGCCTCATCATTATCTATGAGTGAGGGCAAAGACAAATGTCCTAAATCCTGCATTGATACCAATAGATGTAATGAGAGATGTTTTTTTATTTTTTATTTATTATGCTGTTATTCCTGATGCATTCAGAAACTCAACTTTTATTGGTTTTGTAGAACATTAGAAAATGGAATTCATTTGATTCATCTGTGTATGTCGTTGTTGTTGTATGGGTTTATCAATGGTATTTTTTCTGTTGATATTATTATGTTATTTACTGTACTGTGCCATGTGCACTGTGTGAGTTCAAACGCAATGCTGTACATGGGAAGCTGTTGTTTATTTCATTAAGTATGCAGTTGTACAGTAAAATGAACGCAGGCTGTAGCTTTTCCCTTCCTGGGAGTATTAGTCACACATATTCTGCTGAGCATGCCTTATTATACACAATGTGTCAGAGCACTGTGTATTCCTCATTAGGCTTCAGTCTTTGCCAGCAACAGGCCCAATAAGGACTCTGAAACACAGGTTGTAAATGCGCTTGAAAAAAGCAGATTTTTGTAACATTTGAAACATTTCCATAATGCAAACAGGCTGTTAATACGCGTGCATGGTGTGGTAAAGTTGTGCTGTCTCCCTAGGTGGTATAAACTGGATTGGATTGACAGAATTCTTCGCTCAGTATGCCATTTTCTGGCCCTCAAAATGTATAATGTATTTAGGTGTTTAACACTCACAGGTTTCACTACCTTTAATACCTGCGCAGTTGACTCATCGCAAACCTTTTAAGGGCAAAGCTTTCAAAACAAGCTCCCTCACATCTGACCTAATTTCAAAGCACAGTTAGCTTTTGGTATGGATTTATAAGCAAATGATTAGACGATTAAACAATTATCAAAAAAAAACACAAAATCTTTACTTTCAGCCCTAGACCAGTGTTATTCTCTGGACTCGAAACAAAAGGAAACATTATTGTCTCACTGATGTGATGTGTTTTCTTTTCTTTTTGCCAGAGTATGCAACAAATTGCCAAGACTACACAAGCTCATCCTGTGCTGTTGCTCAGTCATTCCAACATATACTTTATTCTCTTTGAGCAAACAATATGAGGATCTACTGAAGAACGAGAATAAAAGCTTCTATTGTTAGCCTGAATCTGTTATGTGTCTTATTACCGAGAAATATTATATATCCCTGACAGCATACTGCTTAGTTGCAGCATTTTTAAGTAATAGCAGCTGCAGCAGTGGGTTCAGGCAGGGGGAGTTCCTAACCTCAGGCCAGGGTAGGAGGACTGAGACAAAGACAAGATGGCTGGGCCTGTCTAAGATTACAGTGTCTGGACTTGCTTATATGGCACTGATATGATCTGTCCAGCACTCCTAATAGAGAGCGTCAAACACAGGGCAGGCTCATTTACATACATTTGAACTACTTGTTGCAAACACAGAGCACGTTTGAACGTCCTCTTACAGTAACAGCTCTGTGTTTGTGGGTGCTTGCACAAACGTGTGTGAGAGAGAAGGACAAGGCCTGAGTGAATAAACGTTGTCTTTTACAGCTCTTAACAGCTGTATCTCCAAACAGGAAGTGGGCCTGAAGCTGTAATTCACACAGACTCACAGCTTCAGGGCAGGGTAACATGACCTTAGGGAGCAGATCATAAAAGAGTAAATGTATTTATCTGTTGGGTCGAAAATGTAAATGTGCCTTTTGGTTCCAGCGCAGCTCCTCTTGCTTGGAACAGTGTGCAAAAAGAATGGAAACTGAGCAATTTGGTTCCACTGCATGTTTTTAAAGCTCGGATAGATGCTACAGTATGCAATCTGATACTGTTGGTACGTCGTTAGGTATGTAAATTGTAACCCTGTAACTATGTTGTATGATGTCCTTTTTGTTTTTCTGTTGTTTTATGTTCTTCTGTCTTCATGTGTAACCTAATTGCTGAAGGTCTCCCTTGAAAAAGAGATCGATGATCTCAATGGGATTCACCTGGTTGAATAAAGGTTTGAAATTAAATAGAAATAAATAAATTGGTTAAAGGATTCAAAAGCTTTATTTGTTATATGCATAAAAGCTACAGTGTCGTTTTAGCAATACAAATATTGAGACTGCTCCTCCGGGTGAAACAAAAACACATAACATAGTGAAATACAAATGATGGCAAGTTGCAGGATGAACAAAAACATTTACATATCAAATAGAATAAGATAATCAGAATGTAAAATTAAATACTGTACTGTGAAATAACTACTTTGTATTTACCGTATGTATGTGGAATTAACATAAACTCAAGACAGGAGGATATGTCCCTTCCTCAATATCTATAGTTGTCACAGAAGAAAACACATGTTTTATTTCTTTGTTTGAGGCATGAGTCATTAACTCCTTGTTGATCCAAACTTGCTGTACATGTTGCACTTACTTCTCTTTTATTTGTCTTTCAGGCGCTGTCCTTTGTTTCATTTATCTGTTTCGCGGCATCCACAGCAGCAGCCTTTGTGACATTTCCCCTGCTGGAGTTCCTCACTGCTCTCTTCTTGTTGTTCGCCTACTCCATCAAATTCAATGAGAGGTTTAAAGGCTTCCTCTGGCCTCTTATGGTAAGAGCAGTTTTACCATAACTTAACAGTGGATACCCATGATCTTGTACATGAGAAAACAAAGAAATGTTTTAAAAAGTTACGGTTTTCCTCTAAAACATGTTATTTCTTTCCTCTCTTAAAGGATTTCTTGAGATGTGTGACTGCCTCCATTATTTTCTTCATCATCTCCATAATGTCAGTATCCAAATATGTGGACGCTGCCTCTAAGGCTGCTGGGGTAAATTCTCCTTTTTATCTCTGATTATAGCCTACAACTCCATTGTTTATGTATTGTTAAGTACATACAACTCTTTAAATCGTTGTTGAATAATTCAGTTTTTATCGCACCAGTAATTGTTCCCTGTATTGATATCAAATGCCTTTCTTTTCACAGATATTTGGGTTCATTGCCACCATCGTCTTTGCTTTAGATTTTTACCTCATTTTTAATGAGCTGGCCACTTTCCTGAAGCAAGGAGGAGGGGAGACCAATGAGGAGCCATCGAGACAGCAAGGTAATACCCAAAGGACAATCTGATTTAAATCAGACAAATAAGACTATTTGATTTTAAATAAATATACTCGTATTTATTAAAATAAACATTAGGTGGGGTAGGTAAGTTTGAGAAACCGGCTCGAGATACACTTTTTGTTATATTCCATGGAATGCTCTTAACATCCCGATAGCAATGAATATCTTAAGTGCTTTGACAAAAAATCCATAAAAAAATGTCATCTGTGGAAGCCGTAATACTGTAAAAAGTACGACCAATCATTTTAGCCGGCCCGGCTAAAATAACTGGATGGCCTACCTGCCTGTCAGCCTTCCATCTGTGCACAAACTTATCTCGTGCCCTCATTGGTCATGTGCGCGTTCGTGTGTGTTGGAGGAGGGGCTCTGTAAGGAAGTGGCAGATTTTTTCGGGCTGTGTATTTTCAAATTCTAGCGCACTCGAGCTGGTTTCTCCAAAATGACCTACCCCACCTTTAATATAGGCCTGTAAGATATGAATTATTGCACAGTATGTTTTGTTAAATGTAAAAAAAAATCCACATTTCTTAAACTAAAATGTGTTTGCTTTAACTATGCTGTGTTTTATTTTTTGTCAATCCACCATTTAAAGTTGTAAGGTTGACTTATTGGGGCTGATTGTTTGGCAGTGCACATACAATGACTGAGCCAAGTTGTGTTCATGCGTATGACAGTATAAATTTAGACATGATATTCAAGGGTTAGTGCTTCAGCCACTTCCTTTGGTTCACTGTTTTTGGCAGACGCAAGTTCACAACTTGCATCATAGACAGACTGCTTTAATATTCGAGACAACCCTTTTTGCATGCTTGAATGTGCCTCCTTAACTTTGATGTTGAGATAGATCAAAGAAAGATAGAGAAAGATACTTTAGTTATTTTTCAATTGTATTTGAGATGCAATAAATGAGAAACTTTCACCTCATTTATTTTGCTGTGTTAGTGCAAGTTTTAGAGAATAACTTTTTAAACCTTTTCTAAAAAGAAATCTAACTAACTACAGTGATACATCTAGAGGGGTGTGAAGATGCTTTATGTGATGGGGTGAACCAGCACTTTAAAAAACAGAGTTGTATCTTTCAAAGTTTGGGCTTGTTCTGTAGTTTCATCAAAGTAGAAGCCATAGATTTTGCGACATCATAACTCAACGTCAGATACTTAAATCCATGATGTCCTCCAACATGTATAAATGTCTTCAAGTGCACCATATTGTTCAATTGCTTGTTACTTTCTGGCATTAAAGTTAAATATGAATGTAACTGGTACACACCAATCCAGATACCTAATCTGTTGTTTGTTTTTTCTAGGTGAGTTTTCAGACTCTGACTCGGACTGAGAACACGGACCACCAGCAGGTCTTCACCAGCATGTTAGATCGTCACATAAGGGTCACATTGATTGTAAACTAAGTGAATTAATTGGTGGATTGGGGACTTTCTCCATAAAGTATTTGGTCTTCTGTGAGGTGAAACGGACCCTCTCTTCTTCCCACTTTGAATTCTCCTGTTGAGCGTTCACAGGTGGAAATGTATTTCACACATTAATCATCATTCAAATTCAGAAAATGTCTAAACTGATGTGTCAAATCTGTGTTCTTTTTTTTAAATGACTAATTTACATGTAGTTGTTTCATGCCTTAACACAAACCCAGTGTCTAGACGATTTAGAAAAAAATACCTGATACTTAAATAATCATTAAGCTGTGAAATTGTTTGAAGATACTGAGTTTCAAGAGCCTTTTGTACAATCTGCATGTAGAAGCATACGTCTTAATCTGGAATATCAATTAGTATTGACTTTTAGGTATTTACAGTGTCCCTATTTACAGACATACTGTATCCAACAACACTAAATTGCTGTCCTTAGTGAATCAATGTTTATGAATACTAATAGTGAAGAAGGTAAGTGCAGCATTATCATCATTTATACATTTACAGTATTGCTATAAAAACACATATGTACAGTTTAAAGAAGAAACGATTGGTTTGAGGCTGGCTGGTTACAACCTCTGTCGAATTTTTAACAGAGTGAATTTTCTATAAATTGAAGAAAATGTTTGCTTATCTTCTTTACAATTGAAATGTTGGATCAACTGAGTTCCTATAGTGTGTTGTACTGCATAAGCTCTTCTTTCTGGGTCCTTATATGGTTTACATGTCCCACAACTTTTGTTTAGAGTTGCCATGAATGAAAGCTATAAACACATTTTCAAACCTGTTCAAAAATAGAGAGGCTCTGCTCTAATGTTTCCGTTTGTCTACTGTATGTGCTTCGTACAACCTGTGTGTGTAAATGACACTTCATGCATTATTATTTTTGTTAAATGCTTAATATGTGATTTGTTTTTGTTTGTATCGAAAGCATATTTTCTTATGTTGGTTATGCATTTTTTTTTTTTGCTTGCAAGTCTGATTTTTCAGTATTTCCAGAAACATTACTGAAGAATTAGATGCACTAGAAAGCCACAGTGACTATATGTAATATACACTGCACTGCACTAGTGTTATTAACAGCACTGTGAATTTAAAGCAGATGAATCAGAGGCCTTTCACTTCCCTGAGGAAGTCTAACTGTTGCGAAATTGGCTCAATAAAGTTAAAAGATATTCTAAAGTTGTTTACTGTTGTACCATTTACTGTAAAGTTTTGACAGTTTGTTTCCTGTGTGGCTTCACTTAGATTCTTTATTTAACTGGTGCCTTGGCAATAATATATCCACATTGTTGTTGATAAATCGGGGATTAAATTGATCTATGCCAGCTCAGAGCTGTATGAAACACATTTGCAGTGAGAACTGAACCAGCGATTATCTTCACTATCCTGTGAAAACAATGAATCTCCAAAACTCCACATTTTCACAAGCTCACAACAACAGTGTCAACTTTTTGATAATTTTCAATGGGGTTTCGAATTATTTATTTATCATAAGAAGTAAAAGAATGTGTTATCTTGTAAAATGTAACATCACTAAATCTGGAGATGCCCGGTTTTCACAAGACAGCAACTGAATTAAACCATAGCCATTTGCTGTGCATACAAAATAAAGGATAATAATCTCGTTATTCGAAGGAACACTGCATCGTTATATAAAAGAGGCCCCTTACTGAACTATTGTTTGTCAGCTAAAGTTTGTTTTTTATTGTTATTCCCTTTTGTGCAAAACATGTTGGAATACAAAAATGAGCTATTTTCAATAATGTCCAAATCACTTTATTTAAATTGTCACTGTAAACTGATGTGAAGCCTTTTGTGAATGTTTAAATACAAAAATACAGCTACTGCAAATAGCAAGTACAAGTTGGGCTCCATGCTGTAAAGGACAGACGTTATTGAAACCAAAGCACACAGGATTAAAAGGAAACAAAAGAGCGCCTCACCTCCAATTTCATTCTAGCAATCATAATGATCATTCACGGTTTAAAGCACCTGGAAACTTGTGGAAAGCATTTCTTCTCTTTCCCATAAATATGTAAAATCCTAATACAGCATAGGGTTCTAAATAGAGCTGCAATATTGATAGTTTTAATGGATAAAATGGTCAATTTATATTATGAAATAGAATAGTGATTGTGTTACTAAATGTCAATATCTTTACATCACTCAGAAAAAACTATGAATGCAAAGTGAACACATGATTGTCTGTTCAGAAAAGTACTTCAGTCACTAAACCAGGAAAAAAGCTGTTGTTTATAATATAATTTACTAAAAACACACAATAGTGTGAACCTTTTAAGCTGTTTAAGAAGTCTTACAGTTTATATTTCAAATGTAACACACATCTGCTCCTCTTCTTATGAACACACACCAGTGAGGGTATCAGGCTGTACAGCAACACGGAGTGCATTTTAGAAGACCACCAGGAGATGGAGCCATAGTCAATCTAGAGACTTTAGAAGACTTTAAAGAGGTCTCAAACAACAAAGAAAACACACATGTGGGACTATAGTATAATATCAAAGCATCAAGAAGCCAAGAATTAGGTTGATTTCTTTCTTCATTTTAAAAAGCATTTAATTTTCCAAGATGTATCCTCCTGTTAGTCAACTGGTCAAACAGAAAAAGCATTTAAGGAATAGCAAATATGTTTCGGGCTCTGCATGTATAGAGCTTCATGACAACTGCATTGTGGAGTTATAAATATTTTCATTATACGAAGTGTGATAATATTCATAGATACACTTATTCTACCAAACACTGAGTGAAAGCTTTTACAATTATGCTAAAAGTACCGTATTTGCATCCTTAACTTGACTCTTCCATTTAAAAAAATCATTAAAGTTTCACTAAAACTCTGTGACAGTCATATCATAACTTGTGGTTTTAATGGCATAAAGAAATGCAGATCAGAACGAGGCAACCTGTGATTCAATTTCAAATCCTTTTTTTAGACTCAAGATGGAAGGAGGGTGTCAATACCTGAGATTCAGTCTATAGGCTGGGGGCTTTGATCCTGACCAGGTCACCATCTCAATTACTGTCGCTGATGTACCATCAACATACGTGTAACCTGAAGCCATAGATATGTGCAAAAGTCACAAGATACCAATTACCTTATGATCACCTGATACAACCTAATCCTGCCTCACAATGTTGACCCAACACAGACCTTGAAATTAAAATGTTAGGAATGCTAGTGTGAATATCTTTTTGATGGTTACCACAACCTGAGATAAGGAAGATGAAATTACGGATTTTTAGTTTGGTCTCATTATTGTGTCAATCCCATCGGATGAATGTGTGTTGAATCTGTTTCACTGCTGTCTTTATTGCAGTTAAGAGTGACCCTGTACTGTTACTGTTTACGTGTTGGCAGCAGAGATATTCAAAGCAGCTAGAGGTCCGGTGTTAGAGGCATTTGTAAAGTTAGTGTAGACAAAGGAGAAACACACACAGCATGTGTAATCTTAAAATTCAAATATCTAATGTCAGCCTTGATAACCAAAGGCTGAAGTCAGTATCTGAGAGATAACAGTAAATGTCGTGGTGCCTCTGTCGTGGAGCAGGTTACTATATGCTGCAGGTCCTGGATCCACGGCTACATTTATTACCACAGACTTCACAGACATCGGCGCAAAATAAGCAAACTGTACAAAAAGATGACCTTCTTTAACTTCATTCACAGTGAAACACAAAACCTTCTAAAAAGTCAACACCTACGCCAGAACAGGAGTTAGTGCGCATTGGAGTGTAGTCAGACATTTTTAGTTTTGGCTCTTCGTTGGAGTCATCCTTCATGCTGACTTGGAAAAACATGAGGATGAAAAGTTTTACAGAGAATACCTTCACTTCTGACTGGAGCTCTTTACTTTAGAGTCTGTATGTGTCACTGAAGCCCGGAGGCCTGATGAACCAAACCATAGAGCTCATCTGTGAATTTGAAATGAACACTTGATGAGAAGTCAAAAGCATGTGGTGAGCTGGAGATGCCCTTCCACTGGACACTTGAATGAAATGCTGATCTGAAGGCAGACTCCATCTCAGTCTGGTGCTGGTAGTGTGTCTTTCCTTTAGTCTTTCCTTTAGTCTGTCTGATTCTCTGCCTGCTTTCATGCAAGCTCGGGTCTGGCCTCCATTTCTCCACGAGACGCTGTGCGCGCTCGCATGTACTCGCTGGTCTGAGCCGCCCCCTGACACCCATTGCCCCGGCGCCACCTCCGTACCGCCAGGAAGGAGTTGACTCCGTACACACCTGTCACCAGGAAGCCGAAGATCTGCATACAAGTGGAAAATGGAAGTATAATAACAATGTCAGAATTAAATGGGAAGCAAAGAGCTAACCGCTAGCATGGCCACACAGGTTCTTTAATTAGACTGAAGAAGTTACATCTGACAGACTTGATCAATTGTACAGACCTAAAAGCTTACATATTATATAGTTCATGATATATAATACAAATGCAGAAATTGTCTTGATCCAGGTTTATTTTGGCAGCTTTCTGCACACTAAACCTATAGCATGTGACTCAGATCAGCTAGAGCTACCCAGCAGCAGATGGTTCAATAATCTGGTCAGTCTCCTCTGCTAACACACCCATGAGTTAAATGAAAGGTATCTAAATAAGACGTTTGCTCAAATCTAAGCTGACAGTTTTCAAATCAATCTGTATAGATTTGCCTTGATAGGAAGCTAGATGACTGAAGATGGAGGTTTGTAAAGATGTTTTCCATGTATCTGAATAACGTGGAAATAGAGGAGGGTTGTGAATACTCACCACAGCTGCTATTTCAGCTCCAGTGTTGTGGTTGATGCAGGCCAACACGAGAGAGGACAAGAAGAAGAAGAAGGTGCTGGCCGCTGTGTTAACCAGGTCCTACAGAAAGACACACAGATAAAAAAAAGATAAGATTAGACTTCAAGTGGGCATCACAAGTATTTTTTACAGGATGAAGCTCAAAGGGTTTCTTAAGGGTAGCTGCTGATGCAGAGTCATTTATGATGCCAGTTTTCACTACTTGTTTTAAATACATTTGGTCAATGCTGAAAAGGGTTGATGTTCAATGCTCAGCTCCACATAAAGTATATATCATATGTCAATTCAGAAATTCACAAAAAGGGAATTCATACAGCAGGTGTAGCATTACACTTTAATGTAATGCATCTATAGCACTCAGTGACAATGTTATAAAAGCCTGCCTTTTACATTTTCAAATGTTGTTTACTCCAAAGCACATCAAAGTGCTATTTGAAAAGTATTACAAAATTCATTCAGTAATCAAATACAATAGAGCTCCATCGATGCTGATACCAACGCATCATTTTAGACTTTCTCTTTTCAATATATGAGGGCGTTTGGTTATAACCAATTATACATTTTAAGAACAAGTCGGACAGGTAGGACATCCTGGATGATGTGTTAACATGTTGAACAAACTGTTTGCTCACACTCTTATAAATATCCAGACTGCTGCTTCACCAAAAGTCTTAAACTGCAGGAGGGCAAAGAAGCCAACAGCATACATGTATACTTAAAAGTCACCTAGCACCTCATATTACTACACACAACACACATGTAACTGGCTCCATCCCCCACCTTTTACACATGGGAAGGAGAATGAAAGAGACACTTCCCTTTGATGTTTGTACTGTAGGACAGGCTGTTAGGGAAGGGTTAGTAATGAGCCTGACTGGGGCTCGGCCCTCGTGATCAGATGCATGATTTGGATTATGGCAGACGTGGTGTCTCATAGGACACACACCCTTACAATGGCCACAGACACACACACTGACACAGATACACAGACAGACAACTCAGCAGGGCAGAACCCATTGCAGCTATGTGTGGTTTAATCAGTAACACATTAAGATGGAAACCATAACATCTCATGCTAACTGGAACAGTCAATGTACACCAGTGTTATACTATAACCTCACAATAAAAAAACTCCACCCTCCATAAACACACATACGCACACACAGTCACATGCACACACTACTACAAACATTGACGACAATACTAACAAACACTCCTATCTATCTCTCCCAACTGGTTAAACAGGAAATGCTGCTCACGTTCAACTGTCCCGCTTTCTTGTGCAGAAAAGCGGGATCCAAGTCAGTTCAGTCCCTTCAGTTGACCCTCAGCCTCTCCGCTTCACTCATTTCCCAAATTCCACAATTCAACCAAACCGGCACTCCGTAAAACCTTAAATAACACAAGCAGAGACTGGACCAAACCACTGGCTCTCTGGCTTACTATTGGCCCCGGTCATTGTTTTACAATCATCTGTATGTCTGCTAAGATTCAAAGCATTGCACCAACTAGTGTGCTTTAAAATATTAGTTGCGTTTGAAGTTTTTCCCAAGCCCCTTTGGACTGAGCTAGAGCTGGCTCCAAAATAAATGTTGCGTGACAAGAGGAGAACCGGTCCACTATACTAACAAGGAGAGGTGTGACATGTTTGTAGGAGGCACTTACTTAATATCCTCAGTGAACCTTAGCTAATTATGTTATCTTGAACCTAAAAAGAACAGTAAAAAAAAAAAAACATTGCTTATTTTAAAACAAGAGGGCATGCACAATCCAACAGTAAAAAATAGGCCATTAATTTTTTCGCGACATAAAACATAAAAACCTTTTTTTGTAGGTTTGTTAAACATAGATCTGTATCACAAATATAGTCTTTTTGATAGTTACCTTTAAGGAGATCCCTACAGAAATGACAAGGATCAAAAAACAGTGATAATTGGATTTTCCACTATATCAGGTTTCTACAGAAGAAGGGGTGCTTCTATATATATATGCTATATACTGTATATATATATATACATTCAATATTCCTATACGTGCGTCCATGTTCATGTTTTGCTCTCAAGATAGAAGCTGGGAATATTCATTGGACCGGAACCATGGGAACCCTAGAGGACGAGCAGAGCATTAATTATGAAATCTATTCCTCTGGCAGTCGCATCAAGTCCCGCAGGGCCTGAAAGCTTCGTGCAAAAATAAATCGTCTCTCAGGCTTTCTCATCCACGCCTGACTGATTCTTTTTGAAAGACAAATAAAGATATCAGGGAAGTATTTCATGTCTTTTGTCTGCCTGGGTGGCAAACTTCAGATGTCAAAACCCAGAAAGCTTTTATTGGATTCAGCTTTTAGGAAAAGTAAATACAACATGAGCAAAGTGCTCTCCGGTCTGAACTGATGATAGATTAATGACTACGGCTAATAATAACCACAAATGTGCTATGTGCACACATTCAGCAGGGGGGTGTAGATCATAACCGGCAGAATAACAAAGAGTAACAAAGCTGGATTAAAATACAGATACAGGCTTTAAGTTCACAAGGTAACTTATGTTGGAACCCATCAGGAATCCTAAGCATTAAGCAGAACTAAAGGGATGTTTTGGCACTGTTATGTGTGTGTAGTAAGGATTTCAATGACTACTAATACATTGGTTGAATATAAACAAATATAATACACCCATAAATCAGTTTAGAAATCACACAAAACATATGGCTCACAATAATGCTTCTGATTTTGGCTCAGCCTTACATCCAGCAGATTATTACTTCAGTAAGTATTCCAGGTGATAAACTATGGACGTTGTATGATGCCGATTTTCCAAATGTTAACAAAAAGGCTATTAAAACAAACTGCAGATTTTAGGTTCAATAATAGATAGGGCTCCAATAACATGTCATGTACAAATGTGATTTTTTTTAAGCACAAACATTTGGATTTTTTTGTATAAAATGTCAAAAGCTAAACACATAAGGATGAAAAGTATATATGGTAGTAGAAAACAATGAAGAGATCTGAATGCCATCTAACCAATTGCATACACATACACGTATTTTGTGATATGATACAGACAGCAGCTTTTTATTACATTCCTGGTGTATAATGTTGTAACAGGACCAGCCATTCATACCAAACTGGGATGATTTACTGTCTGTCCCCACAACAAAGCAACCAGAATATATTGGGCCAATTTGCAGAGTATTCAAACAGTTGAATAATACAACTATTCTACTATTGTCCTCAGGGTCACCCCATTTCTGTCCCAAAACCCCTCAGCCTTGCCAGAATATGTAGGGCTGTGAATATAAGGGAAACAATTCACTGCGCGGCGTGTCTTTATCTGCCTGCTTCTAGCATGTAGTGCAAAGTAGAGCTCATTCACGTAAACTAAACCCTGAAGAGTCACCCAGTCAGTGGCTTTACAACCAGATCCCAGGACAGCATTCATGTCTGTGTTGGAGAGGCGGGAGAAGAGGTCAGAAACGGGTTTCCCCTCTGAGCTGCCAAAGTCATCAGAGGGTGAATTGGAGGAGATGGGATCACATAGCACATCATTTTAAAATCAAAACCTCCTTCTGAGACGTTTAACTGCATTATAAAACAACTCACTCCACAGAGGAGGAATGCTCTGTTTGTCTTCTCTTTGACTTTTACTTATGCTTGCAATGTTTTTGTCTTTACAGATATACTTTTTGCTAAGTGTGCTTTGTTTTAGTTGTTCACGAGTTATAAAGCCTTTTTTAACTGTTTGAATAGAGGAAGCCTCTTTTGTTCCTACATTGTAATTCATCTGTTTCCCTATTGAATGTATTTTGAGTCTTCTTTAGTGTTTAAATAAACTAAGTCCACAGCGTTGAGTTTGGAAACAGGGGAAGGCAGCAGAAGGGTTAACACCTGGTTAACCCTCTGACATGCTTACTCATGATGACATTCCCAGGGGCCTGATGTGATTGGAGCAGCTTTGAACTTGATATACATAAACAGCGTGGTGCACAACCTACACCTGTGGAGTGGAGCTGAGCATCTTGTGCTTGTAAACTACACAGCCGTTAGGAGTCAGGGCACAGACTGTTAGAAATAGCTCACAAAAACTGAAAAGCAGAGGGATTTTTGTGCTGTAAACACAGAATTTGTTGACATCCAAATATTCGGTTTTAACAAAATATAAAAGACTCAATATCTTTGAGCATACAGCATGATTCCAGCAATAACAATAAGCCAGACCGCGGCCCACCATTCTAATTTCTTTGAAGAACAACTTCCTTTGTGAGTCTAAGGCGAGGCACAACTAAACTCACTTCTCAACATGCCTTTGCCTACAAATAATATGTGTTAATTACATATTTCTAGACTGCTCATCACATGAGAGGAAAATTATTAGAAAATCAGAGGCAACCTGAGAAATGCCTCAGCAGAAAATTACTAGAATGTCTAAGAAAAAGTACGAACAGTAGGATTTTTGATGATATGGACTCCCACTCCGACTGTGAAAAGCTTTAATTTGATGTCTTTCTGCCAAAAGTAGAATCCAAAGGCACTCCCTCTCTTTATGTACGAGGTGGAATACTGTACCACGGATGCCATAAAGCAATCTGATAGCTATGGTTGGATTTGGACATCTGGCTTAACATCCACAGCGTACATACTACAATAATCTACGCTGTGTGGCCTCTGGAAAATCACTTTTTCCACTCTCTTCTGCAAAGGATACTTGGCTGCCGCTCAGAAAACACCAACGTGTGTATGCAGACAAATACTGAAAGGCAACCAGTATCTGCTGGAGAACACCCACCACCACATTTGCTTACAGCTGACAATGCAACATCCTGGTGGTAACACTGAAACTGTTCCCCTCCCAACCAGTTTTATACTCTAATAAGCTTCACAATTTACTGGTACAACCAGCTTGTGCTGCGTCCGATAGGTAACGCAAGACTCAAGCAGTCCAATTAAAGCTTTTTTAGATTTGGTCGGAAACAGATACTAGGTTCTTAGTTTAATATTGCACATGTCCAAAACCAATGTGGCATAGAGGGCTGACATTTTGTCTCATACAAGGGGTTTTAAGTACCTTTTATTCTAAACTGAGTCATATAGTCTGGTCCTATCACACATCACATCTGTGTGTACCTACCGTGAGGCTCCAGTTGACGTGGGGCACCTTGGTGTGCAGGTTGAGGCAGAAGATGAGGAGGAGGACTCCGGTCACCACGAAGCAACTGCAGCTGACAAACTCGAAGAAGTAGACCCCCCCGCATGGAGAACACATCATGATAGTCTCTATGCAGATGAATCCAATCAGTGATAGGACCTGAGGTGAAGAAGAAAAGTAGAAGGGCATGTTAAGTATTCTGTTTATTGTGTTTTTTAAATGTCAGTCTCTCTTAATGCCTGTTATATCAGTCAAACCTTTTGCATCGATTTGTATAAATGGTATCTGGATATATCTTCGTCAGAGCTAAGTCATCCTCGGAACTACAATATGGCAAAAAATGTGTCATATGCCATATTTTCTTCAATGCATAATGAAAATGTCACTAAGTAAATGCTTCTTGGTAAAAGTGCACCTCAGCCTGTAGGTCAAACCATTTTTCTTTAACTTTATGAGTCTATTTGTGCTGAAATTCCAAGGTCTCCAGATGATGAAGTGATTGTCCTATGAATAGACCGGAGGCCATAAGCCCATCTCAAGAGTCCCAGTCCTGGCAGCCTGTAAAGATGCCTCCCTCCGGCCAATATCCATCAACAAACCACAGTATGGGAAGAATTCTGCTATTTAGGTGTTCCTCTTGCCATCCAGACCCCGAAGAAAACCACACACAGATTACCGATTGGCTTAGAGCGGTCTAAAAACCAGAGACATAACAGAACCAGGAGAAACTCACTGAGACTAATCACTGACCTGACGCTGCTGAATTCAAACCAGTTTAGACCAGATCTGCTTGGTCTTTTGTCTTATCTGTGTTTATCTTTCCTTTAGCATTAGAGTAATTTCATGCAAAGCAAGTCTTACAGTAATGTCTGATTTAAACTGCCGCATACAAAAAACTAAATGCTGGTAACAGTCTAAAAAGCAAAGGATTGAGGAAGTTCATCAATAATTTGGTAGAAACACACTTTCTCTAAAGACAGACGGAAAAACCTGACAGGTATGTGTTACAGTTCCTGTTAAGCCAGGCTAATGTTTTCAATCAACTGCTGTGGTCATTTCATTCATGTACAGTCTTCAACATTCACTGCTTCTTCTCTATCAGCCTGACACTTAAGTCTGTATGTTCCAGGTTGCTTTGATGACTTGATATATTCAAGGTTGCAGGGTTTCAATCTTGGTTATATTACTTTTTTCCATAGAATATTTGTTTTAATTTTTGACGTATATTATGTTCAAATGAATAAGAACCCCTGGCTGAAGTGAGGGACTTTTATATTATGCGAAGGCTATTACTCCAGGCAGCTTTGCGCTTGGTTAAGCTCCATTTACAAAGCTTCAAGACCAAAAGACAAATCTATAAACCAGAGTTCCAACCTCTTTGAAATACACTTCCTACGTTTCATCAGGGACACAAAGTCAAGGGAATTATGCAGGTATGGGTTTAGGGATGCCATCAGATTATTTCAAGAATTTCAGGGGGCAGTGAGAGAAAAAAGACTTGAGAGAGATGGTCACATGGCTGTTATATGTGGGAGGTAACAGACATGGGAATAGGGGAGAGCAACAGTAATGTATAAAAGCAACATGTCAGATGACACAGAAAGGAAGGAGGAATAACTGAGAATTGGGAAGCATCAGCACTAGGATTACAACTATGCCATGCACCAAGTGTTTCAAATAAATGTATCAACAGAACACCTTACTCCAAAAACCAAGTTTATACAGGACAGAACTATATGCATTGTAAAAATGCACACATAAATAGATGGCTCCAACATAAGCCCAGTCTAAAAATAATCTTTAAAGCCTTAGAAATGTTTTTCATCCGAACAAAAATGGCTTCACAATAGTAGTGATTCAAACAAACATACACAGACAAGCACACACAGCATTGGTCTATATACTCTCCATGCAAAGCTTTGTTCTGAGCTGCTTTTGACATGGAAATGAAATGAGAGCTGTCACACTGCTTAGATCTGTGTAAGTGTGTGTGGACTCTCATTTAGAAGATGTAGGAAGTGCAATGATTTGCGAATACTGTGCCTTGTATTTAGAGACTGGTCATACGTCATAAAGTGTATCTATGAAAAGTTGAAATCCTGACTTAAAATCCAAACAATGAGATGGTTTGTGAAACCCAATATAGATTTGTCTGAATCCCCACAGCTAGTTGCATCTCATTGCTTCACAGAATAAATGTATTTGAGCACAAACCCAAACAGTCTCATTAGCAGAAACCCCCTCCTCCCCTCCCTGAGCTCTCAGCAGCTTAATAGACAGCCCTATTTATCCGTCTTAATGAGCAGAGTGTAATGTTTCTGACAGACAAACTGTTGTGTGCTGACTGCTACTGGTGACCTGTCAGTGGAGGACTCTCCTGTTTGTGACAGACTCTTCGTCCATTCTTTCAAATAGCTGGCTCTGTCACAGAGAAACCTAAAGATCCAAAGATAGTAATACATGTACATGACATGTCCTGCACTAACATTACCAGAAATACACTAAAGACAAGAGACAGCAAATCCACTGGGCGGGCCACCATTAAGACAAAAGCTTTATTTTGTGCAGCTGCTGCAGCGTCATTAGATCGTGTAGTTGGATAGTAATACATCCAAAAAGGTTACACCCAAACAGGAGTGGAGGGCTGCATGGGTTTAGGGGGTGATGTCATGTCTGTTGAAGAAAGCCGATTGCTTTCCCCAAGTCCCTGTGCAGCAGGTGTCAGGCAGCCTGGGGGGGAAGGCAGGGGATGGCAAAGCACCACACCGGATAATCCTGTAGGTAATGATTTTATGTCAACATTCTACACAACCTGTTTATTGCACATGGATAAGTGCACAATGAGCAGCACATCAACCCTCTTTCTCTTCTTTCTCCCACATGTACACAAATCCTTATCTTAAGGATTATGCACATTATTAGTTGCATTAGAGGGCCTCTTGAACTCAGATCCCCCTTCTTAAAAGCCATCTGTTCTGGGCAGAAATCTAAAGGGTGAGTGAAAGAGGCGTCGCTGCGAAGAATATGCAAAAGCATATGGTGCACTCCAAGTCTATGGGACCTCATGCACACACAATTACAATAAATGTAGAATATATCAGCAGCAGCCCACAGTGTATGTGATGGAAAATGTGGCCTGAATGCAGGTTATATTTCACCCCAGAGGATAAGGAAAGTATGTTTTGTGTGTGTGTGTGTGTGTGTGTGTGTGTGTGTGTGTGTGTGTGTGTGTGTGTGTGTGTGTGTGTGTGTAGTCAATGCATGCATGTTTCCCACATGCATTCACAATGTTCTTGTAGTCTTTATGTCTCCCATCAAGCTCAGAATAAGTAATGTTTCAAACAGAAGAGAAAGTAGCATATGGCGTCCCTCTCTCTCTCAGAGCAGGAAGTGCTCACTGACATTTCGGAGCATCTGGTAACTTCATTACACAACATCCACAGATCCAGAAAAAAACCACCTTAGTATACTATTTTTCTACGACTTGTTAGAATAGGAAAATGTGGGTTTGAATACCATCACGAGTGAACTGTTATTCATCCTGAGGGCAGGGGGCTTGTTGAGAAACAAAGACGGTTTGACTGGTGTACTGTCAGGCCTACAAGGTATCAGGTTCCAGTTAGTGTAGAGGAGCAGGAGCTGAATATCAGTTGGTCTTTATTGGTCTCCCAGTCACAGCAGGGAGACATTGCCAAACCTGTTGGCAGGATTGACACACCTTGCTCAGGTTACATCCTACAGGGGGTTATTTCTGATCAGGACGGGGTCAGCAGCAGCAGCAGCCTGCCTGTCCATTCATCCAAGGAATGACTGGCTCTATAAAAGCATGTGCAAATGCATTTTAGTGCTCTGGAAAGAAGCAACTACACAGCTCTATTAGCACTAAGCACCTTGGACTGCTCATAGGGATACTGAATTTCTCAGTAAACACGGGTCAGTGCAAAGGTCTTCCTTAGTGCTACAAGGCTAGGTGTAAGGTAATATAATACTCTTTTGCGTGCCAAACTCATAAGTAAGTGCATATTGCCAAAGGGGTGTTTAAGGGGCCCACTAACATTTGTGTGAGCTTTACATATATAACACGTATTTCATACAACAGGATTTCCTATCACTCCATATTTGCAATGTGTGTGCATTGATGCTAATCATTACTCGTATTTCTGTTGGGATCATCTATTAACAACACACAACTACTGCTTTTTCAGACAACGAGTAACTTTCCGTTTACACAGTGATCTGAATAACAGACACAAAACCTCCTTTGCAGTGTTTCCAGATAGAGCATAAACTGTCCTACATCAGACATGTAAAGACCATCAAATGCAGTTAGCCTTGCATTGTCATCAACATTATCGTGTAGCCTTAGCTAGCACAGAGCTACACTTTTAGAGGACAGAACAATACAAATAAATGCTAATTAAGCTATTACAGTTTGGCAGGAAGCCAAGTTGTAAGCCTCTCCTAAGGTACTGAATGTAAACTTGGATGACTTTCAATTGTACTGTCCTTGTCGGTGAAGGACATAATATGACTAGCTTTTTCTGGAAATACAGTATCAGCCCTGAACAAACTGTTCAAGTACAAAGAAAGTACAAACAGTAGATTAGTAATGGGAACTAAGATAATGCGTTACACTTGTATATATCTTGTACCATGGCTTTTATATGTTACTGCAAATACAATATAACTGCACCTTTTTGTGTTATAGTGTAGCATCTACTTTCAACTGGCATTAGTGCTTTTGCAATATTGTGAGCAGATTCCAATCATTATCCACATGAAGGAAAGGCTCACTGGGAAGTCTGTTATTGAACCTATTGTCACATTATGGCAAGTACTATAACATCAGATAAAGACTGTTATTTATTTACTTATTTTGTTAAATGAAAAAGCGTTGGAAGAAAAAAAAAAATTATGTTTTGGGATGTATCAGTCTTGAAATGCAGGTATTAAATGAATACAAGTAATAGAACATTTAAATATAGCCAGCCCTATACCTTTGGGCTCATAGATCTCTGATGTTGCATTAGAAAAATCGTGAATGCTAGGATATAAATCATCATGTTCATGTACATATGTGCAACACATTAGAGCCTTGAAGCAGGCATCAGCACACGTGTGCACATGTATTCTAAGAATTATACTTATTACTAAATGTTTTCATCTGTAGTTAGTTAGCCTCTGCAACAAAAGGAATGTTATTTAATGTATTCTTGGAGAGCCAAGTCAAAGACAGTATTTTATCAATCTCTGGAAAAAATACTGTGAATATGAATCTTCTAGTTCTCCCTGCTCCAAACTCCTACACTGATGACAGATGGCTTCCTATCCTCGCCTCCCACGTACACAGAGGTAAACATCACAGGTGTGTGCAACAGGCTGATTGCTCTGCTGTAGGACCAGTGGGAGACCCATACACCCACAAGCTGAAAATCATTTTTGAACTTTAAACAAAAGCTTTAAAAGTGAAGCAGAGAAGCCATAACTCTGCAGCTTATCTTCCAACAGTTTGGACTTCTAGTTTGCTTGTGCTATCCACAAACATTGTTAGAGGTAATTGCTGGTTTCCTCAACTCCATGGTTTTTCCTGTTGTGTACCCACATCATGTGCATGAGTGTGCAGGCCTGTCTGCGTTTTTTGGCACCAGAAGAAGAGAAATGGCTCTGGCTCGATAGATATTTCCTCCTCTGGTGAATTGTCAGAGACTTGGGAGCCCTCATTTTTGCTTTGTTGCTGCCTTTGTCCCAGTTCAGACATATGGTTTAGGTGTATTGGTTTAATATAACACTGGAAATAGGTTATTTTTTACCAATACATACCAACAGAAATGATGATAACCGTTTTTTTTTCGAAGAGCAATTCATATCAGGACACAATCAAATACTATCACTGGGGCATTGTTGAGTGGGAAAGCAATGGTTAAACACATTTAAGGACTTTGCAGCATTGGAATAGCAGCAATGCATTCCAATAAAGAAGTGATTTACATTAAAACCAAAGGTTGCCAAGTCCCTAGTAAACACAATTCTGTCACAATAGACAGAAAGTATCACGAGACAGACACTATGAAATCACTAGTAAGGCACTGTGGGGGGAACCATTGAAATACTGTAAACATGTTGTTGAAGCCAATGAGCATCCTCCAGAATAAGAGTCTACTGGAAACAAACAACGTTTAGCAAGGTGTGCAAAGCGTTACTAAATCGAGAAGGGTAATCCGTAGAGAATTCAACCTCATATATTTAAGCGTAATGGGGTCGTCATAGCGACTGTTAGCATGAAACCTGACTGTCCACTATAAGTTATGTGATACAGGTTAAACAAACCAAGACCTGTGGAGCAACTTTGAGTTGAATTACAATTTTGAGTTTACTATTTCAGGTAAACTGTAAGTATGAGTGTTAAAACATACTGCATTAAAGACATTGCTTTGAGGAAAACAGTACTTTCCCTGAAGGTGTTAAGTTGGCCATATGTTAGTGGCTGCTTAGTGGCTGCTTAGTTGATGTTCTCCAACAATGGTGCGTCATAGTTTGTGTTACTAACTTCAATGAGGCTGTACATCTTTGAATGTTACAGTAATGTAGCGTCGTTCTCACACTTACCACTTCAACCACCTTTAAAATCCCAAAGTATGACTTCAGGTACTCCATGTCGCACCTTATCCCCCCCATAACGTTCCTTGAGAGGACGGGCTCGGTGGTGGGCTGATACGGGCTGCTGGCCCCGGAGATCATGGAGGTGTTGGAGGCCTCGCCGTCAAAGCCCTCTGCATCCTCGGTGGTCCTCATGATGCAGGTCGGCAGGAGCTGGACTCTCGACAGGCAATGTTACCACATAAAACCCCACGCTGACAAACCGCCTGGATCCACCTCAAGACCGCAGGTTATGTTTCAGAAAGCACACTTTGTTCCATGCAGGTTCGAAGTGGATGGAGAAAACAAACCAGACGGTCCACTTTTCAGAGCCGCCCCACGGGGAAGCAGCCGCGGAGGGTGCTCTGCAATATCACGCGCAGTAATATCAGGCTGGGGTCCGTGGATGTGACCATGCGCTGATTCCTCCTGGGTACAATGTTGCGTCTCTCCAAAATAGCCGCACTTTTAACTATGTTAGGCGGGTCACTTGTTCGAGTCCCAGTGTCACTCCACCGTGGACGATTCTGGTTAGTTCAGCAGCATCGCATCGGGACACAAATGCCTACCGGGCTGTGTGACTCGTCTGAGCGACCGAAAAACATCCGCCCATTATGGCCGGGAAGAACCGAGAGAGAAGCTTTGTGTTCCCTATTGTAAACTTATGCAAGTCCCTGCAGCAGCCTACAGTGAGGCTGCCTGTACGCCGCTTTCCTCACTATGGATGTGAGGCAAGCTTGTCTCCGCCCCTCTGAAAACTGCACATTCTTGTGTAGGCTCTGCGCCAGTTTTAAGTATTCCCCAACAGCCTGCAAAACGAATCCAGCCGGAACCACGCCGACAGGACGGAGCTATGCTGCTTTTCTTCTGGTTCTTGCACTGGTCCTTTCTCACCGTCAGTAGCACGCCTGCAGCTAGGTCTGATAAAATTATGTAGATATTCTCCTGAGGGTTGCAGTCAGAAAGTAGTATGGAGTTTTTACTGTCTTTAAGGAGCCTATGCCTACAATGATCCTGGAAGAGTTGGCTGTATTATATTTCAAAGCCTATTGTTACTTTAAAACAAATCCTCAAATATCAAATTATAAGAAACTAAATAGATGTTACTATATTCTTCAACCAAATGAAAGAAAACAGCTCTAGCAAGAAATAGATGAATTGATTAACAGATGCAAACATCCTGGATTTCTATCAGATGTCATGTCAAATAAGCTTTCAGAATTCAGGGAAAGATCTAATTTTAAATTAAGTAAACTGTGTTTCGCTGCCCTCGTATGGAAGGCTGTGGTATTGATAGCTGTGTAGGTGATAATGGGCTAGAGATGCTGCATATCTGATCCAACAGTACAGTTCAGTCTTAAAGTGGCCCTGCTGGGCGACAACAATGATTAAAGACTCTGATCTAATGTAAAACAGAAATGTGCAAACTGACCCTTACTGTGTTTTTCTAGTAATTCCTCGGCCAATAAAATGTGCAATGTTGGCTTCAACGAGGGGACTTTGGAGTAGTATGATGAATATAAGCAGTTCAATTAAAAAAGGATGACTGGAATAAAAACTATGACTAAACAAGTTTGTTTAAATAAATCGTATTATAGAAATAATCTCTAGGAGTCCGATCAGAAAGAGTATGATATTTAACATACACAGCACGATTCTGGGAGAACACATTATTACTGTAGTATAATTATGATATTTAGCAGCAAAGCGACGATAGGTGATTTGAATTTTAACCATTTTAAGACACATTAAAAGTTCAATAGTAAACAATCTTGCATTTTTAGAAATGTACATTATTTTTCTGATGGAGCAACCGTTACCATAGTTTCCATTAATGCCCATTTTTTTGAGAGTGTGAGGGGTGGCGTTAGGGGTTGCCAGGTAATTAAAATCAATCAAATCAACATACATTGTACAATTAAATGCAAAAATGTGAAGGTCCACCAAAGTTTGGATTCTTGGTTTTATTGAAGCCAGGGGTCTGATAAACATTTTCCTTATCTTTGTCGGCATAAGAAGCGAGAATCCACATGGCAGCGGAAAGGCTACAGAAATGTGTTAAAGTCATACAATCAAACTTCTAAATTAATTCAGGACACACAAATGCAGCCAGCCATGTGCTTACAATGTCTCAATATCCTGAATACAAAAGGACTGGAAGCAGAAGCTCATTGTCTTGTATAGATGTGGACTGACAATAGTGGTCGAAGGCAATTCAGTTAGCATGTGAGGAGGCAGACGTTTGAATACAAAAGTTAAATCAACTGTTCATTATTCAACTTTGGGAGAAACATAAAACCCTAATAAAGAGCGAGTACAACTTTGACACCAAGCAGCATGAGAGCACTTCATTCTGCTTAGCTAAATGCCAAATTAAACAAGTGTGGCCATTTTATGAAGAAATGTCAGTGTGGTCAGTCAGGTTAGGATGGCATTTCAAATTATTCTAAACAGAAAGTGTCAAAGGGCAACACAAACACATTTTAAATAAGTTGTAAACATAAACAAGAGGTGATTCATGGGCAAAAAGGCATAGGTCAAACCTGAAAATGAATAGACATTTTGTTTTGGTTTATCTATTGCAAGATGCCCAAAATATGTCCCTATCACAGGTGTAATAATGATTTTAAAGGATTGATTATATTAAAAAAAAGAATCACCAGTAGAAAGCAGTTATTCCATAGTAACCACAAGGGGCACCTTCCATAACTTAAGCAGCAAATACAGATAAATAATGCAGTTTTACTCGGGAGATTAGCTTCTAGTTTCATTACTAAATATTCTAAAAGGGCAAAGCAAAAACAAAAGTGATATGCATTCTTTATTTAACTGTAGGAATAGGGAATTGATACAAGTGTCCAAGGAAAAGTGCTTATTACATGTGGCGGTACTTCTCCTGGCTGTTATTAAATTGTGCTTCGGCCACAGGCTTGCACATTCCACAGTCACAAAAAAACAATAAGAGCTTAATTTTAATCAAAATTAAATCCAGAAAAGTTGTGTAGTATCATTTTCAAATCAAATCATGCATAAAGTATACTGTACACCAGTATGGTCTTGTGGCAATTGCATTGCATTTGTAGACCAGTTTAGAGAATGTACCATAATCGACTGTCCATAATTATGGCATAGTATATTGAACAATGAAACCACAGGTATGGTTGAATGGAGTAAGGCATTTTCTACCATTAGGATGTTATGAAAACAAGAATTCGTATGCAGGTCTGAAGTTTAGGATTATAGGCAAGAGTGGGACGAGAAAGCATCCACTGGTTAATCTTAAGGACTATTACCAACTATAAAAGCAGAAAAACTTGACTAAAATGCATCTTTGGTTCCACATCCCAATCTTTTTTTGCCATCTTTTAATAGCATATAGCTGCACTCCTCATGCTTGCCTTTCAGTGTGTTAAAGCTTTCGATGAACACTATCCATAAGATTAAGTAGGGCCTTGCATACAGACTTAATGATGATGTACACTTCATTTTAATTAGATAATGGTGACCTGAAACCATAAATAGTTTTACAGATTATTTGATATGGTACAGTATAATCATTTTATATTAAAAAAAGAAAAAATTACAGGAAACAGTTGAGCAACCCCTTAAGGACACAAGTATTAGGAGCATTCCTGTGAAGGCAAGGTGGCCGTTGTGACAAACTGTTAGCTGTACAGTGAAGGCAAAGGTTGTTATTTTAAACAGGGCACTGAAGGAGACGGACAAACGGGTTTCACTACTGGGATGTGTTTCTACAGCTATTCCATGTAAAAACGGGGGAATGTTTAACAGATATGCAAAGTACAGTGTGAATAAAACATGCAAACCCAAAGGAGGAGAGTGCTGTCAGACACTGTATGATACTATACGTCATTTTGATCACACCACAGCAATTCATTGTTTGTCTTTTGGCTGCAAAGCGAGTGGTTTCCACCACAGTGAGTGTTGTTGTGTGGTTCCTTCTAAATCTGAGCAGCCTTTACAGTTTTCATTAAGGCATTCAATCTAATGCTCTATTGAATACCATCAAGTAAGCCACAGAAATCTAGTTTCTGAAAAATAACAGACCACAGGCTTATTGTACATTAACAAAAATGTAAAACGAAATAAATTATTTGGATGTCAAAAAATGGACAAAAACCTTTTAACCTACAGTGCATTTCCTCTTACGAAGACAAGCATTTCTACTATGAAACAAACAGCTAACTGTGCGAGGCACTTAGGAGTTATAGTAGGAAAGATGCCGCCTAACCCAATCCCCAAATATACACACCTGTAGCAAAAGAAGCGGTTCCATCGCAACCTCTAAACTCATCAAATCTCATTCTCATTTAGCCAAAGAAGCTATTTTTAAGAATTTTGACAGAATTGCATTTTTATACAAAATCAAAGTTAACCTGAATAGATTTGTTTGTATATATATTTACAGAATCCTTCGAGATAATTAGGGAAAATTATATGATATGCTTTCAGCTATCTGGACATGTCAAATTAGTGTCATGACGTCAGTGGCATTTTAACATGTTTTGCGATACAGACACATTTTTTCTTTAAACCGGTTAATGGTGCACAAAATAAAATAAAAAGGAGCTTTGTATAAATACATCAGTATCATATCCAATATTTTGTACATACTACATATGTTTGCAAGTATTCTAATATGTTTTCTAAATGAATAAATGTAAAGTTGAAATACCTTTCCAATTGTGACCAAATTCCTTCCATGAGATAAGCTGACCCAGAGGCCACATGACCGGTAGATTTCCACTCTTTAAACCCATGAGGAGAGGGAGTTAACCCCAGAAACTGGGGGGCCTGCAGCCCAGCGCATCGAGCTGGCTGCCTGGGAGTGTGCACACATTTCAATAAACCAACATCCCTTACAAAATTACATTTACAGTGGAAGAGAGGACAGAAATAAAGCCAAGCCTTTAGCGTGTAGCACCTATAAGCAACAGCTTCGTCTCTGTTGTGTCTCTCTTCCCATCCCACCAGAACACCAACATATCTGATAGCATCTGAAACTCCTTTTGGTGAAACCACTGTGTGCTGACTGATATAGACATTGGGAATTTGGTCAATTTTTTATGCTCACATGTACATGTATAATTCCAGAGTATTAACGCAGTGGACGACGCAGATGTTTTTGTTGCCTTCACGCTTCGTTCCCTGGCGGCGGCGGTACGTTGTTAGCTGAAACCATGGAGTCCTGTTTGCGAGTCATCCGGTCCAACTCCGCCTGGACGTCAGTCAAACCCGGCTTCTGCCCTTGGAAAAACAGGAGACAAAGTCCAAAAGTAATCTCCTGTAGTCTCTGTGTGTATTCAAAACAGTTTTCTACAGGCAGTAAGCAGACAGATGAGGGTGGGATGGTGAGGCGGTCCCATGCTGGAGAGTGGCTGCTCGCTGCCACAGTTAACACTCATGCAAAACGTATCATCGGACAAAGGAAACATGTTCTCATGCGCTCCCCTTCCAGCTGGGTCAGAGAAATGTTACCACAGCTCAGCACTGGAACTAGAGGTACATGTCAACGGAGAGATGAGTTATGCAATGGTTCCTTCAATGTTTTTACTGCGTAGTACATTCAGCCAGTATTTGACTTTGCTACATTTACCTGATGTAACAAAGTAAAAAAAATGAAGCTGGTTGACATGCGAAACAGCCGTGTTTACTCAAGCATAATAAATTAGTTGAGCAAGAGATATGACATGGAGTGAGTGACATTAGTTGTATGGAGGATGTTTATGAGTGGAGGTTTGGTGCCTGTCACAAGTTTCCTCAGATGTTTAGTCAAAGACAACTTTTATTTTTCTATTGATTTAACTTTTCTCTCTC